TTTTTTATTAAACAAATGTTTTTGAATGTTCAGCTGCGAAAGTTTTTTGTTTCTCTTGAAATTTAAGCTTGACAGTATTCCTGAATTTTTTTTGCAAATGTAGTTTTATTTTTAGATCACCACGTGCACGTGGTCCTCAAGAAAGATGTGTTGCTGCCGAAGGTGTATATAACAATGCCCATTTCATGCATGCAATAACCAGTCATGTTGGCAATATTGTACAGGTATTGGAATTGTTTAATGAAAATACATTTGATAGAAACAAATAGAAACAATATATTCTTTATAGATTTCTTTGATAATGAAATATATAGTGTAACATAAATTTTAATGATCTTTCCTACAGTATATTTATATTATTACAGATTCAAACATTAAACGGTTCAATATACGAAGGTATTTTTCGCACCTTCTCGAGTCAATTTGATGTTGTCTTAGAAATGGCACATCGCGTGGAAGGTTCTGGAAAAATTAGTGTAGAAAGTGTAGTAGAAAAATTAATTTTTAAACCACAAGATATTATTACTATGTCTGCCAAGGATGTTGATTTAGATTATGCTATACGTGATACATTTAGGACAGACACTATTATTAGTAAATATAATGGTTTAATTGGTGAAAAAGAATTGGAACCATGGGATGCTCCTCCTGCTACTATGAATGGAGACGATTTAAAATTGGATGGAACGACAGTAAGTAATATTTGTAGTAATGGAAAACAAATCTAAACATATAAGTGAAATGTTTGAGTATGTAAAGTAAATAAAATTAATTTTTAGAATGGATGGGATGCCAATGACATGTTCCGCAAAAATGAACAAAAATATGGTGTTCAAACAACATATGAACCAACTTTGGCCGCTTACACATTACCACTTCAAAGAAAAGATACAAAAGATTACAAAGAACAAGAACAAAAAGCTGCAGAAATTGCAAATGAAATAGAATCACAACCAAATTATAAAGCAAGATTAGAGCTGGAAAATGGTGATGAAGAGGAAAGATTTGCAGCCGTGGTACAGTTTTTTGCTATTGTCATAATTATACTTAAAAAAGTGCGGAGTTAGTTGTCTTCTTTTAATTCAACATAATTTTAGGTAAGACCTACCGAAGGTAAATATATTCCACCTCCACTAAAGAAGAAAAATGGAAATAATGCAAAGCTGATGAGATCTAGTGACCCACCGGCTTCACCAGGGCCTGCAACAGCTAATAAAAATGTCTTTAATCAACAATCTCCGTCCAATGTAAATGTGAACATTCCGCCAAATTCGAATCTTCCTATTGGAATGCAAAGTGCTCATCCTTCAGTACAACATCCGGTATCATTAAATATAGGAATGCCACCTACTGGAGTAGTGGTTACATATAACAATCCTCCACCACCATTTGTGCCTCCACCAGCAACACAACCACCACCGCCAGGTATAAAAGAAATTATACTCATAGACATAAGAATATGAACATTTTCTTTTAAGTAAATTTATATTTATAGTACCTGTGATTCAACAATCACAACCACAGTCTCAAGCAACTTCTGTACCACAAGTCAGTTTTCCACCACAACAGCAACAACAAACACCATCATCTAAAATAAATACAGAAAAACGTGAACGACCTGGCAGACAACAGGTATATCAAGCAGACAAAGCACCGCCAGCACCATTCCCACAAACGAATGTTGCTAATTCTCACCAACAGCAACAATCATCACATCAGCAGCATGGTCAATTACCACAGCAAAATTCAGTTGAAGGACAACGATGTGAGATAGTTCCACATAAATCAGATCACAGAAAGGTAATGCATTACCTATAAATTATGAACTATAGTTTCTATGTAAGTATTTAATTGAAAGGTATGTATCATTAAAGGTGCCAACACCACGTAGTAGAGAAGAACAACATTCAGAATTGAGGCAATTTGCTTCAGATTTCAAGTTAGCAGAAACTCCAGCACAAGATACACCACCTGTTACCAGAAAGCAACAGCAGCATCAACATCAACAAGACACTCATTCTTCACCTCAAATTACTCAGACACATCACCAATCATCTCATCAACATACAACACCGCAACAATCACAACAGCAACCACCACCACCACAACAACAACAACCACAACAACAGCAGCAGCAACACTCAAATCCTCCTCCACAACAGCAACAGCAACAATCACATCAAAATCAAACTGTTCCAGAAGAATCTGTAATTACTACTAAACCACCTCCAGGTCCATTACCTTTGCGACCTACAAGTCCTCCTCAATCACAACAACAACAACAAAATACTTCTACAAACACACCCACTGTATCCCAAGCTCCGCAAGAAGCTACTGTCGATAAAATTACGACAGCTTTTAAAAAGTCAACATTAAATCCAAATGCTAAAGAATTCAATCCAAATACCAAAGCTTTTACACCGGTAAGCTATCAGTCATTTGATAAGAAATTTGATTAGCAATGATATAACACTAAATAATAATACAAATATTCACTTTCAGCGATCCCCAAGTACACCGACACCAAGTAGACCACACACTCCACAAACACCTCAATATACTGGAACAACTATGCCTGCGACTGTAGTAATGCCAGCATATGTAATGACCAGTCAACCACCAACTGCATTCAGTCAACCACCGGCTCAGCCTATGACAAGGTTCCGGAAGGGTCAGTATCTAGGTATCCGCATCTCATTTCCAATTTTCTATTTATTAATAAATATTTTATTATCATTTCTTACAACATATAAATACCTTCTTTTGAAATAACAATGTAAATTATATTTTACTTTTTTTTAATTTCAGTACCAGTAATGCATGCGCAACATCGTGCGCAAGATATAGCCTCCCAAATGCAAGTAGTAGCTGCAACTGGACAGCCTTTAATGGCACCCGCTCCTCTACACCCACCATTCCAGGTGCCTTATCCTGGTCAACCAACTTATCAACAGATGGTACGCATGGTTCAGGCACCACCACCACCGCCACATATGGCAACACCTTATCATCATCATGACTCACCAGGACCACAGGCTCCTGGTATTCAGTACATGGGTCCACATACACATCCACACCCTCATGTTGCTCAACAACCACCAAGTCAAACTCCCTCTCCAGCTAATCCAAATCCACCACATACACCAGGCACCTATAATCCTCCTGGTACTCCACAACCCACATATCCTCCACCACCTCCTCAAGGCCAAGTTATGCCACCTGCTTCAAGTTATCCAATAATGTGTCCTATAATTCCTCCTCATATACCGATACCACCACAGCACATGCAATATCTACCGCCGCAGCCACCTCCAGGAGCGCAGCAAACTATACCAGTGATTCTGCCGCACAATCAGTAGCTGGAATCAGAAATGGATGAAGAAAGAAAGAACTACTAGTATTCTGCAGAGGTAGAATAAAGTTTATAAATTTAAGTTACTTTCATGATGGCATTAGGCACTTGAAATGACTTTCTTGCTTGTCATATACATATATCTGTAAGCAATCTTCATTTTTCTCTTTCCTCTTCTTTTTTTTCTCTCCTTTAATAATAGCAAGATCATTCCAGACAAAATAGTATGTGTTTTATTTAATTCAGATAATAATTGGCAATTTTTATAAAAGAAAAAAATTTATAAAATCGTAGTAATGTGAAATAAAGTGCTGATCATCTTGAAAGTGACTTTAAAATGGGTTAGTTAATTCCAGAAGATCCATGATAATATTTAGTCCCTCAACTTGTATTTAAATTTTAATTCTGCGAGACAGATGCAATACTGCTATGTTATTAATTTACATACTGCTACAGGACAGACACAAATATGATATTTAAGATTAATTTATAGAAATATGTGAAACGTAAAAAGAAAATTGGCAAACGTAATTGCATTATAGGTGGTGCCTATATATATATAAATATATATATATATATTATATATTATATATATATATAAATATATATTAGGAAATAAAAGAAACGAGGGACAGTGACTATAAAATACTGCAAGAAAGAATATTAAAAATTAAAGAAATTTCATTTTTAATTATCTTAGCTCGTACCACTTTGTAAACAATTTTATTAAGCCAAAATTCAATATGTAAGGTTGATACAGAGAAGAGTTATCCAATAGTCTGATGATATTGTATTTTCGAAAATTTGAGTACTCAAAAACAGAGTAATTGTGAACAACACGCGAGTAAACACTTTTTTTTATATAAAATAACTATTGGAATAATGTAAAAAAACATATAGAACATATAAACATATTTTTCTGCTCGCGCTTTCATATTTGATATCTTACTGCAGTAAGGAAGCACAGGAACAGGTCGAGACAACGCTTCGAAATTTAATTAAATTGCGTTCAATTACATAAAATTAAATAACATGATATCGAAATAATTGAGATCAAGTTTCAAATTTTGCAATTTGTTGATGATGGATTTTGTTATAAGATGCTAATACATAAGATCCTCAAAGCAAAGAATAAATTGAATTAGGGAAAAAATATATGAGGAAATGGGTCTGGCAAGTAACGATAGACGTTTCTGTCGTGTTAGAAAAGCATCTGTATATATAAAGAGGTACAAACGTATTAGATTTTGTTTAGTGATTTACAGTATAAAAATTCCAATATTATATAATAACATATTTATGAATTTTATATTTGTATTAAAACAGATGAAAGCCAAAATAGAGATTTTTAAAAAAGTGATACAGTAGGGAACGTTGCATTAATCACAATTCAATTTTAAAATCAAATTTCCTTTTTTCTCAAGCTTAATTTAGATAAATATTATGTAATCTACGTATCTACTCTTTATCACAAGCATTGATTTTTATTATAGATCGTATGAATTATAAATTAAAAGAAAAAAAAATTAAAATTTGTAGAAAAAAAATAATAGTGATATTTTACTGTTCAATGAATCGAAGAATTTAATACATTGAATGTTTAGAATTGTCACTACAATAAAATCGATTGTGTACCTCTTGTGTATAAACAAACACTGTCAGATGCTATGGCATTGAAGAAAAAAAAAACAAATTGAATTACGGCCTTAGACCTAGTCGTGTACATAAAAGAAATGAAGGCAAGGACGATCCTTATCTGAGATAGTTGAATGTGTGGCATCGTCAGACACAAATTTTATATGGAAAAGATTAAAAAAAAAACATCAAAATAAACTGAATGCGTTAAAAACCAAGCTGTGGACGAGTTATTTATTTTTGATTTCCTGTAAAACACTCAAGTTCCAGATTTTAATCATACGTTTCCGATATTTAACGTAGCTCAAATTAATTTAGCCCAGTATTTCAGAAATATTAAATATACGTAAAAATTAAAAATTTATTTATGTAAATGATATTTTTAAAAAATGTACAATGAAGTTATTAACTTCAAATCAAGCCTGTCAATATGACAAATTTCAGACTTTCTTCTTTCGTTTAAGGATACGGATATTTTTATCAAAATTGATATTGATTTTACAAATTTATTTATTTTATTATCATCGTTTATTATTATCATTTGAATTATAATTTATAGGTACAATATGTTGATAATCTTGTTTTTCTGTTAAGATAACCTATGTGTATAAACCATATGATTTATATATGTATATTGTAGCCAGTAATAATGTTCAGCATTCTACGTGGGCATGTTCAACATAACCTTATAAAATTACGTTTAAAGGAACGTAACATTTATGTTACATATTTTTTAGTTTTTTCTTAATGTAAAGAATAAATAAAATTCAAAATGAAAACGCAGAACTGGAAAGAATTAGAGTCGCCTTTAAGTGATTCTGTATTGAAGACTATTAAAGAATTAAATTTTCCTTATATGACACCGGTGCAGGTAAAATTTTAAGTTTGATTTTTTTTGTAAAATAATATTTATAATGCGAAATAATTACATATGTAGGCAGCTTCCATACCATTATTACTAAACGGAAAAGATGTTGCTGCAGAAGCGGTAACAGGAAGTGGAAAAACAATTGCTTTTTTAGTTCCATTATTAGAAATCTTACAGGTATTACATGAGATTTATGTACTATGGTTATTGTTTACTTAATAAATATTTACATATTTTGGATAAAAAGATGATTACTATGTTCTTTTTTTTTTTACAGAAAAGGAACGAAAAGTGGAAACCTACAGAAATTGGGGCAATAATAATTAGCCCTACAAGAGAGCTGGCTGTTCAAATAAATGAAATTTTACAAAAGTTCCTGAATAATATACCAGGTTTAAAACAAGTATTACTTGTTGGTGGTACAACAATTGCAATAGATGCAGACAAAGTTCAAGCAGGAGCAAATATTATTGTAGCAACACCTGGTAGATTAGAAGATATGTTGTGTAACTGTAAAAGTATAAACTTGGTAGCATGTGTAAAATCTTTGGTAATTAAATCTTAAATGTTTTCATAGTAATATATTTTATTAGTAATATATTTTATTCTTAACTTTTAGCAATTATTTACAGGAAATACTGATCTTAGACGAAGCTGATAGATTATTAGATTTAGGTTTTTCTGCGACATTAGACACAATATTATCTTATTTGCCACGTCTCAGAAGAACAGGTTTATTTTCTGCAACTCAAACAAAGGAATTACAACAATTAATAAGAGCTGGGCTTAGAAATCCAACTCTGATAACTGTTAAAGAGAAACCAAATATTTCTACACCATCAAACTTAAAAAATAATTACGTGATTGTGAATGCTGAATGCAAATTATCTATAATGATTGATTTTATTAGATATAAAGGCATTAATTTAAAATATATGATTTTTTTATCTACTTGCGCATGTGTTGATTATTTTAGTCACGTTATACAAACGTAAGCCATATTATAAATCATTTATATGCATTTTATCAAAAACTTGACATTGTATATTTGTTTTAGTATGTTGCCGTCTATTCAAGTATTTGCAATTCACGGTAAAATGAAAAGCAAGCGGTATAAAGTATTTAACGACTTTCGATCTACTGAAAGTGGGATTTTAATTTGTACAGATGTAATGGCTCGTGGTATTGATATTTTAGAAGTGGATTGGGTATTACAATATGATCCCCCCTGTTCAGCTAGTAGTTTTGTTCATAGGTGAGATTTATTTTAAAAATTTTTTATAATTTTATCATAATTTTCTAATCATTTGTTTCAGATGCGGCAGAACTGCTAGAATAGGTAATGAAGGAAATGCGTTGTTATTCCTCTTAGAAACAGAAGATGCATATGTAGATTTTATTAAAAGAAATCAAAAAGTAGATTTACAACAAATAGTTCTGGAACCATCCATAATTTCGTATGAGAACTGTTTGAAATGTATGAGAAATTTACAAAAACAAGATCGATTTCTTTTTGACAAGGCTAACAGAGCGTTTGTATCATACATCCAAGCATATAATAAACACGAATGTAATTTAATATTAAGACTGAAAGATATTGATTTAGGAAAACTTGCAATGGGTTTTGGTTTATTGAAAATGCTTCGTATGCCAGAGCTTAAAGGGAAAGATACAACTAATTTTGAGGAAGAAGATATTGATATCAATTCACTTGCGTATTCAGATAAACAAAAAGAGAAAAGTCGTTTAGAAAAATTAAAAATTTTTCAAAATACCGGAATGTGGCCTAAGACACAAAAACGTAAATGCAAGCAAACTGAACCTTGGTCTGAAACTAAGAAAAGGAAGATAGAAAAGCAGGAAAATCGTAAAAAAAGAAAAGAGAAAAAATTAAAACAAAAAATGTCTGCAAACATGACAAAAAAACAAAAAAGAAAAATAAATGAACAAGATATCGAAGATCTAGCCAAAGACATAGCGTTAATTAAAAAATTAAAGAAAAAAAAGGTATACTTTTAATATAATTTTTTTGACAGAAATATTTAGAAAATAAATGTTCACGTACGTATAATGTTTCAGATATCGCAAGAAGAATTTGATATTGCTTTTGGGATTGATTGAAAAATTTAATAGCAATGAATAATATAGTTATTTACAGAATAAGATAAGCATAAGATAAGATATAATAAGATATAAGAAGGTAAATAATACACTGAAGCTATGTTTAAATGATTGTTCTTGTTCAGATAAAAAAGTAATATGATCTTATTTATAATCTTTCAAGTACTTGCGCTCAGGTGAATTTTACTTATTAGTTATCCAAATTATAATGAATTATTAAAATGATTATATATTTCAATGATTATATTTCAATTTTTTATAATTAAATATTTTTATAAAAATTAAAAAGAATAATTTACAATCAAATATAAAATAAAAAATACTAATGTATATAAGATATATTTTAGTAAAATTGATTCCTTCATAATGTGATAACATTCTGGGTATTGTGATGATGTATGATATATAGTATATGTATCTGTGAAATCTTTTTGAAGAAAGATTTCAGTATGTGAGTGAGTCCCACTCTCCCACTTATTATGTTGGCATTGAGTATAGTAGAAGGGAAGAACAAGCATGAGGCATAGTGATGAGTCACTAGTTGTTTGTGCAAGTGTCAACTGAATGTAGGAAATAATTTCAATTTCTATGATTTTGTGCTAACAATTTTTATAATAAATATTAAAACAAACAAATAAAGATGAATGATACAGATGTTAGTGATCGTCCGAAATGGTTGTTAGAATTGGAAAATCGAAAAAGAAAGGTGAAAATTTAAGATGATTTTGAAGTATATTTAGAGAGTTTTTTTTTTCATTCTCTTATAACATAATAATTTTTTATATATATTATATATAATTAAAAACAATTTAATCACTAAATATATAATTAATAATATTATATACAATTGTAAAAAATTCTATTTGGATTTATCAGTTGTAGTGATTCGAAACTTAATTAAAAGTTAATAAAATTAATTGCCTTTGAGAATTTTTAAATTATTATATAATTATTTCCTTTAGCCCCGATTGGCACATGAAGCTGGAGCAGGTGCACCGTGTGTTCTTTGTAAAACTGCGTGTCCAGGGTTGGATTTACATTTTTGGAGAAAAATTTGTAAAAATTGTAAATGCAGCAAAGATGATCATGATGTTAATGATGATGATTTTCCACAATTTGATTTATTATTTGGAAGTTCAAGAAAATATAAGAAAAAATCCATATGTAAATATTAGTATTATTAAAATAACATATATTTTATATAATATATAATCTACAGCATATATAATGTTATAATATGTTTCTGTTACATTTCTTTTAGTGTTACATATAAATAATGAAAAAGAACATGTAGGAGAAGCATTTGAATGGGTACCAGATACAACAAAAGAACTCGCTGCAGATTATATGAAAGCCTTACCTATAGAAAAGTTACCCATTAAGGGATCACCTGGAGCAGCTTTGAGGAGACAGTTGTTACAAAAACAACTACCTCTTCATGACATAGATTATAAAACTTGCGATGAATTAAGTGATCAAGAGAAAAAACAATTTGAAAGGTATTTAGAAAATATAAAAAAATATGTGGGACAAGGAACAGTGACAAAGGTAAGTTATTATTATAAAAATAATTATTGATTAAATCTTACAATATATATAAATTAAATTTTATAATATATATATTTATTCGTTAATATATTATATTCTTTTCTGTACTATAGATATTAAGTGCTCGTCCATTTGATGGATCGCTGATAACACCTGTGAATGCAACTGATATGCAACATCTTAGTCCACAAAATAAACCTAATGTACCATCAAGTTTTGTTCAGTTACGTACGCCAAGTAGTTTTGCTCCAAAAGGTTCACCCAAAAAGAATTTATATGAAAATTTAAATATACGTAACTTTTCTACTCCCTTAGAAACAAGTAACAAGAGTAATATTGAAAATGTTCCAGTTTTTGAAAAACATAACATAAACAGTGAAGATGATAAAATTACTAAAAGTAATAATCATAATATAGCAAAAGACAATTTGAAATATTTAGATGATGCAGCAGTCACGAATGTTAATTCTGAAACTGTACCTTGGAATCCATCAGAATATCATAAGATAGCATATAAAGATGTGCTCAAAAATCCATCTACATCTTTGTTACATTCAAAACCACTAAATGATGATGTTAATACCGTAGAAGCTTTGTTAGCAAATACTTTGCCATTACATAGTACAGTACATGCAAATGATATAGTTAGAAGTACACTGGATGAAAAGGGTTTAATGTATATACGCGAAAAACTCACAAATAAATATAGTAATCAAGAAAGTCAAGGGCAGGCACTATGCAATGGTCCAAATTTCGCAAAAAGTTTAGACTCAAATAACTTACTGTGTAAAAATACTGATTTTGGATTACAAAGTGACAATATTTCTACAAACAACGAAGGAGCTGATAAAACAGGCACTATAAAATACCCTGGAATGTTAATTCCATCAAAGGATAAACTTCAAAAAATAAAACAGAATATTCGCGATTCTGGATTAATAAAAGCACAAGTAGAAACAACGAAGACTGATTCAAATTTAATTAACTCTGATTCTTTGCATTCTACAGGACCCTTCGATGTAGAAAATTTAACAGAAAATAAGTTACAAAATCCTTCAAAAGTAATAGAAAATTTATTTCCTTTACCAGCATCATCGTCACAAACATATTTACAGACTTCTGATATTAATAATTGTCAAGGAATAGTAAATAGTTTTACAACACCTTTTACTACTATTCATTCTGAAAAATTGCAGAATCAAATTTTTCCTTATGAAACTAATCCTCAAGTAAAACAATCGGAACAACATTTTCCAAATATGGAACATCTTAGGAGTGTCACGGAAGAACTAACAATAGATTCTAAATTACAAAAATGTCAAAAATGCGAAGAAGGATTCCGTATTGGTGATGTTGCTGTAATCACAGACAAAGCTAAAAATGCAGTATGGCATCCAGGATGTTTTACGTGTAGTATGTGTAATGAATTATTAGCCGATTTAGTATACTTTTATTATAAAAATAAATTATATTGTGGTAGAGACTTAGCAACACTCCTAGGAATTCCTAGATGTTTTGCTTGTGATGAAGTAAGTAGAACATACTTAATAAAACCTTTACTGTTCCATAATAATAAATTTTATATTATTTTTCATCTTATATTTTTCAGCTTATTTTTGTACGAGAATATACTGTCGCAGAAGGACATAATTATCATGTAAAACACTTTTGTTGTTGGGATTGCGATATTCCATTAGCTGGAAAACAATATATCACAGAAAATGATTGTCCATTATGTCTTTTGTGTTATCAAAAAACATATGCAAAAACGTGTAATATGTGTGGGAAGATAATTGCTGCTGATCAACAAGGCGTTGCTGTTAAGGATTTAAATTTTCATGCAACAGAAGCTTGCTTCCATTGTTATATTTGTAATAAAAATTTGTTAAATGGCAGATTTGCTGTTAAAGAGAAAAAAATATTCTGTAGCAAGGAATGCATTTCAAATTTTTTACATCCACAGATTAAATAAATTAAGAAATATTATTTATATCATACTATCTTTAACAATTTTGCATCTTTCGAAATATTATGAATTATTTGCTATAAAATACAGTATATTATGTAGTTTTTAATTTGTTGTATACGTCGTCAGTATAAAATGTACATCATTAAAAAAACAAACATTTTACACAAGCATGTGTATAAAAATATATTTTCACTAGATATTTAGTTCTTTAACAAATATTCATTATATACTTACATTTATGTTACATTTTAAGCAATTCATTATCATTCATTATAAAAGATATCTTACTTCTATATTTTATTACTAATATTAAACATAAGTTTTTTAGAATATTTCGATAATGAAGTATACCAGTTTTTCTAATAAATTATTCAAATTGTTTTCAAAAAAAAGATATGTGCATTTAGAAATATCTCAAAGTATTGTATCAAATTATGATTATATCAATAGAATTATATCTAAAAATTCTAGTATTGTATTACATACATATAGTTTTATACTTTATATAAAATTTAATTAAGAAATATTAATAAGTAACTATAAAATTCTATAAAATCCTCTAAATACTATATTTATTAAAAGCTCCAAATGCTTTTATAAATTCCAAGGTAACAAAGTAGGTTATTCTATCATCTGGATTTTCTATTCAGTATAATTCCCTAAAAAGTTGATAGATCAATTTCAAATAAGTATATTCAAAAGATATAAAATAATTTTTAAATATATAAATTTTTTACACATTAAGTTCAAAGGCAAATCTTCCAATATAAAATATATTTTTGTCATAATAAATAATTCTTATAATAATTAAATGTCTTTTTTACTTTAAAACAGTAGTGTTTAAGATATATTAAGCAAAAATATTGTAATATTTTACTTTTGACGTTTAAACTCACTGATTAGTAACTGTTTTTAAAATGTATGTAATTTTTTTTCTATAAAATAAATATAGTATACATATATACCTGTCACAAAAGGTAGATATATAAAAAGTAGTACACGTAATATCGATGATTTACCAACTTGTTTAAAACTTTATGACGCTTCATTCTGAATCGCTATCAACAACAGTTAAAACTCTTTTAAACGTACTACGTGCTTCACGATATTTTGTAGGTGTCTCTGATTGTTTTGACGATTCTTTATTGGAATCTTTATTTCTTTGAGCACGTGTAACGCGTCCTGAAATTTTTTATTATCAAGATATTTATAACATATAATCTTTTATGAGTTTCATAAAATTACAAACCTTCTGAAATAATATTGCTTGTATTTAACTCAGCAACATCCTTAAGACTTTCATTTCTTTCTCTGGCTTTTTTACATTTTTCTATAGATGGTCTGCCATTAATTCCATTTTTTGCCAATAACTCTTTAAGACATCTTACTTTTGCAGCATTTGATTTACAACCAGCCCAAAGATCATTGTATGATTTCACATGTATTCCAGCAAGTCTAATATATTTTTTTAATAATAATATTTTCTTATCATTTTCAGGTTTCTAAAAGAATATAGAAATATAATTTTAGAAAACATAAACATTGGTGCAAAAAATGTTGGTATACTGGTAAACTTACACTAGTTTTTTCATCTGTAGAATTATCTTCACTGTCACTTTCATTTTCACTTTTACTTTTTACTGATTTTAAATCAGATATATTTTCTTCCGACTTTAGATCTTCTGTTATATTAGAATTTTCATCTTCACCATCCATATTCTCAACTTGATTCTTCTTTTTTGCTCTGCCTCGTCCTTTTTTTAATTCTGTGACTGATTTTGTAGATTTCTTGTTTGCTATTGTTTTTTTGAGTTTCTTTTTAGTTTTTGGACTGTAATCTTCATCCGAAACATCATCATTCTCTTCAGAGTCAGTATTTTTTGTTTTGCTAAAGGAAGTCCTACTTCTTTTTTTCTCTTTCTTTGCAATTTGTTTAGGTTTAATTTCAGGTGTATCTTGTGAATCTGATTTGTCCGCCTCAGAGGAACTAACATCAAGTTCTGAATCATTAGGTTTTGCTTTGACAATTATTGTTTTTGGTTTAAGTTTTTTATCTTTCCCACTTTCACTTTCAGAAGAACTTGAAGATTCTTTGTCGCTCGCACATTCTACAGAAAGTTCCAAACCTTCGACTACTTCAGCATCTTCAATTTGGGATTTTTTGTCTTTCTTTTTTGACTTAACATTATCTTCTTTTTCTTTTTCTTCTTCTTTTGCTTCTGTTTTTTTTTCTATTGTATTTTCAACATTAAGATCCGATACAGGTTCAATGCATGTACTTTCCTACACCATAAGAAACAAATGTAAAATTAAATGTAAAATTAAATGTAAAATTAAATTAAATTCATTAAAATATGATAAATCAAATATTAATATGTACATTAATTAATGTTGCTTTTAAATTGAAATTTATAAGTTACCTGCTGTTTTTCATCTGTTAAGATATTAGAATCATCTTTCTTTTCCATTGCGATGTCATTATTGATTGATGTTTCATTGTTTTTAATATCAGATACTTCAAGACATAACTCTTTTGTACTTTCATCTGTAACTGACTTAATTTTATCCTTTTTATTATCAATATCTATATCCTTTGTATTTTCTTTTATTTCTTTGACAACACCATTTGCTTCCAAGCTATTATCAAATATTGTTTCATCGATGGATGTGCATAGTTTTTTCGAAGGTAAATCTGATTTTTCATTTTCTGAGGTCTCCTCTCGTAACCTTTTTTGTTTATGTTCATTTGTATCCATAGAATTGTCAGAAACTTCTGAAGGCATTTCGTCCAGAGTTTCTTTGTCACTTTGATCAGACTCAACCATTGTTTATAAATTTATCTGAAACGAAAATACTTGGCACATAAACTGAATGAAAATAGACAATCCAGTAAATGGAGGATAATTTTTTTTTATAGCAAACAATGAATTCACAATTTATCTCATTTGACAACAAAGTTTAGTGATAATTTACTTAATTACACGAAAGTTTATTTAAAAGCAACTGCTTTGGCTTAAATCTTGTTTATTGATAATTTATTTTGATATCGGCAAGGATTTAACGATATTAAGTACGTGTGTACAATAAAAAAAATATTTAAAATGGCATATTACATTGCGTGTCAATCAAAATACACAAATTTAATAACTATCAACAGACTTAAGTATTAAAATATTTTTGCGTGTTAATAAATTTTTCTTTTCTAGAACTTTACAATATGAAATATTTTGTGTCTCTACACGCGAATGTTGAAACAGAAAGTACAACTAAAGTAATGACATGTACACAATACTTCACTTACAACGTCAAAATCGGTAAAATATATTTATACTAATTATTTGTAAGCGACGTAACGTTTGCGCGGCAAAATCTACGCGGTAATCGCTATTGATTGGTTAAATTATTGTGTACAATATAGTACTGTTGCGCTACAGCATAAACTTGGCTGTATGTTGAACGATATCGATACGTAAATTGAGAATCGTAATATCAAGGCATAAGTAGAAAGGTTCTTTTCTTTCTTTTTTTGTACATTAATCTTTTAAGCAAAAGTAATAAATATATCCACAAAGCTAAATTGTATCAGTTAAGTTGTTTAGCATTTTAATTTATGCAACATTTTCAAAAACGTAATTTACTAACGACTATCGATCAATAATCGAAGTTGCTGCGTAAATCGATTTGATTCGTTTCGTACAAAACAATATGAAGCCGATCATATGCTTTATAGTCTATGGCAGATCATACTGCTCGCGCCCCTCTTCGAGAACCATTAGAGAAGAATCTCCTCTATATTGTTCTCCATTTCTTTCATATAAATGACTCACGAGCCTCATCGTTGCATTTCAATTTTGAGATTAGTACGCCGGTCTAGATTTACGTGTAGTAGCTACATTAGTCACATGTGCAGGTAGCAAATTCGGTTAAAAGATAGTGGTATTTGTAACGCTTAGAAAAAAGGTAAGAGAAATTGAGGTTTGTTTCTAGAGGAATCGTAAAATTACGTGTTTTGCAGAGTGTCAAAGTCAGCTGTGTACGTAACGTTTTTGAAACTTTGATATGTTGAGTTCATCACACACGCGCGTCGGCCGCCGTGCTAGACGCGTTTCCAGTGATGACGCGAATAATGCAGAACTTGGAGAAATCAAACGTCAAACAGAAGCAGAAATGAACAAGTTGGGGGCAAAGATTGTCAAAGCTGAGATAATGGGCAATACTGTATGCTATGCAATTTTTGTATTATATATAATAAAATGTAAACTAAACAATTGTAAAAATTAATAATGTTTTCTTATAGAAACTTGCCAAAGAATTAAAAATTCAATTAAAAAACGCTAGAGAAGCTGCAAAAAATGTTCAGACAAGCAATATAGGAGAGATTCAAAATGTAATTCTTACAGAAACAGATTCAAAAGGTATGTACATATTTTCAGTGTGTAATTTCATAATTGAAGTGGATAATCAATAAAACGTTAATAACCTGTACTAGGTATTGCAAGACCATTAGAACCCAGAGTTCAAATTACAAAATCTTCGCAAAATAAACGAAGAAGTGCAGGGACATATATTTCTGGTAAAAAAGTGAGACATTACCTTGATGATGATAAATACTCATTAGAAAATCTGGTAAGTTTATATTAAAATACAACTTTCATAATTAAGAATATCAATCAATAATGTTGAATATAACAGTATAATAGTATGTATTCAATAACCTTATTAATGTTCTCTCAGTTCCACAAAGAAAAAGGAAGGTCTACAAATGAAGATGATGCTGCATTTGTTAAGGCTGCTTCTAAAGTATGTTACAAAATTTATTTTGAGAAATATTATGAAGTGACAAACATGTAAAATAATTTTTAGAATGGAGACATGGACGAGATGTTCGAGCAACAAATTACAAATGTTAAACTGAATACTAAACAGAATGAGAGAGATCGTTCGCATGCTATTAAGGAACACAAACGTTTATCAAAATGTTTGGATGATTGTCATTGGTGTGTTGATTCAAGATACATGCTAAAACATATGATCATTACAATGGATTCTGATATTTGTTTAAGCCTACCTCATTACACATCTTTGACTTCCAAACATTGTATAATAACACCTACTCACCATATTGCTTGTCAATTGCAATTAGATGAAAATATTTGGGAGAAACTGAAGGTATAAACATTTAGTATATTATTATTGTATTATTGCGCAATAATGTTTCTTTTTCCCTCATAATTGTTTTATTTTAAGATGTTTAAAGAAGCTTTATATAAAATGTTTATGGATCAAAATCTGTATCCAGTGTTCTACGAAATTTACAAGAGTCGTCACAAATTTTCACACATGAAATTGGAATGTGTTCCATTAAAGAAAAAAATTGGTGAATTAGCACCAATATATTTTAAGGTAAATATACACACACATACGCGTGCGCGCTTATAAATTTATAACAATAAAATAAAATTAATGATATCAATTCTTAATTGATATTTTTGACAGAAAGCCATATTGGAATGTGAAACAGAATGGTCAATGAATAAAAAGGTAATCAATCTTGAACATAAGGATGTGCGTAAAGCTATTCCAAATGGTCTATCATATTTTATGGTAGAATTTGAAAGAAATAAAGGATATGCTCATGTTATCGAAGATGAGCATATGTTTCCTACAAATTTTGCACAGGTAATTTTTTTTCTAAATATAAATAAATTATTATCTCGCAAAAAGATTATTTAAAATATTTTATTTATTGTAGGAAATTATAGGCGGAATGTTAGATCTAAATCGGGATGTGTGGCGAAAACCGAGAAAAGAAAACTTTGATCAACAACGTGAAAAAGTATTAAAATTTTCAGAAATATGGAAAAAATATGAATCTGAAATTAATAAATCGTAATTAAGCACAAATTTGTATATATAAATGCAATTTTTGTAAATATATTTTTTTGTTATAAAAATTTTAGTACAGATAAAGTTTTATCATTATTTATTTATTTAAAATAAATATGTGTGTATGTAAATATATAATACACAAATATATTACACAAATGTTTAATATAACATTTTACTGTAGTGTTTATGTTTAATAAAAACCTACCACTGGTACTTTTGCACAATATTCTTTCAAAATAGATGGAAATAGTGATAAAACTTTAAAACGTGTTCCCATTTTATCTTCATCCATTATCATATGATATTGAGATTTTAACGATTTCTTTCTTTCTTCTGAAACATTTTTTAAGAGCATTTGTAATCTTACATCAATTCCAAGGTTTCGTAAAAAGTTGGATTGATTTACTGGTCCGAAAGCTATTAATCTATCATCTTTTTCTGCAATTTTTTTAATAGCAGCAAAGTCAACATCTGCTGTTAAATCTGCAGTTCCTGGACATAATAGTGGATCATGTATTTTGTGCTGAAAAAATCCACGAAAAGTATCAGTTTTATCACCATTATGACCATAATCACAAATTAAGGCAAATCCACCATGTTCCCATAAAAAATCCGCTATATAATCCACTATTACTAAGGTTTCTGGACTAATTTCAATATGCTCTCTCTTTTCATCAGCCTGCAAAATATACATAGAATATACATTGAATCTGCTATCTTATTTTTTAAAAATGAAGTGTAAATAATATTACTGATATATATAAAGTAGCAGGTGTCGATGCATTTGACAATACGTAACGAAATTTTTCTTCATTGCTTCCTTGGACTATGTCCACTAAAATTTCACACCAGCCTCTGTCAGTTTTCTAAAGATAAATCATCACATTAATAAATTATTTATACACATCAGTTATGGTTAGTATACCTGAAATTTATGAATTGGTAACGCATCAAAAAACTCGTGCATTAAAAATATACTAAAATTCTTAGGCACATCCTTAACAGAATAATACCAATATATTTTTACTCCATCTTCTGTAATACCTTTTCTGTAATAATTGACAGAATTATCTTTCTTAAATTCATTGTTATTCACATCATTTTCTATAACTGTTTTACATAAATTCTTTGCCTGAATCGAAGACAAAGTAGGACTAATTTCGACCAAATGTACCGTTACATTATTTAGAGATTTAAATTGTTTATACACCTATGTGAAAAAGATAAATTTATGAAATAGATCTGTAATTTTTATATTCTAAATATTAAAAGCATACCCTTAATATATCTTTAATTAAAGTTCCTCTACCTGGACCTAGTTCAACAATTTGGAAAGGACCTTTTGAAATTTTTTGTGATTCATATTTCATCCAAATAGCTATCATCTAAAAAGATAAATAATCAAAAGCAAATGTAGCATTGCTAAGAATTTATCATGAGTTTTTAAAGCACAATACCTCTCCAAATAATTGCGTGATTTCTGGCGATGTTATAAAATCACCTTGTTTGCCAAAAACGTCTTTGTTCATGTAGTATCCTACGATTGGATGTGTTAAAACTTCTTTCATGTAATCGGAAACTGTAATAGGTCCGCAGGCTAAAATTCTCGAGTACAAATGATGGTAAAGACTTTGTGGTTTCTTGTCATTCAAAGTTGAAAAATTACACGATGAATAAAACAAATAATGTTGCTGATAATTTGGTAACATTATCGTATTGAATGGTTTACAACATTTTACATATTTTTTAAATATTTGAGGACCTTTACAAACCCCCATATTGTCAACTCTTCAGCGTGTCCGAAATAAACAAACTTACAGGTTACATTAAGTTACAATTGACTAAAGTTCTCATTAACTAAAAAGAAAATTCGTATTCAAAATTATGAAAATTATGCGTATGAAATTTTTCTGCACATCATCAATTATGTTCACGAATAATTTCGAATGTAGTATTTCATTTATGTTAGTAGAAAACTAAATATTATTCGAATCGATTGTTCGATGTATTAGAGCAGAATTTATAAATCTTTATACATGCATTTTCAAGATAGAAATCATAAAAATTTACAAATCTTTTAATTAGCTTCTTTGAAAATAAAGATTTGATCAGTTTTTTTCAGACCAATCTAGATACATTAACTAGAGTTCAAATATATATATTGACATGACAAACTAATATATTATATGATATATATATTTATAGAACTCCATATATAGAATATGGAGGTTTATTCCTTTTTAATTGATAATCTTATAATAATTAACGTAAAAACACAATAAATGTTATTTTATTTAACTTTTCTGTACAATGATCAGTTTTCTCAAGCGTTTGACTTTAAATTAAATCTCATATTTTTGCCATTCGTTTTCTTCCTTTTTTCTTTTTTATCGACATCGCCGCTCATCTAGTCGTTAAAGAAGGAACTGCCACAAGAAAAGCTATGTGCTACCATCTATTGAAATTTGTCAATGAATTCCACTACTTCCATTATCTCCTTTAAATCACATCCGATATGACAGTAAACGTAATTTATTTTTGCATAATCATCGGCACGTGAGAGTATACGAAAATCGAATTGAAATTAATCAGCGTCATGGCTTTTGTGACCGTTACTGGATCCGCTATAGAAGTAAAGCGATAGACGACTGTAAAATATATACATTCTTATCAGATTTAACAATGAAATAAAATCTCAATCCTCACAATCTTTAGTTCTCTATTCTTCCACTTTGAATGCTCTTAATTTCATGGCGCTGCGTGGCTGTCGTCAAAATTTCTTTGGTACTCCACTAATTTTTATTTGCAGAAAAAAGCTGATTATTCGCTAATTATATGGTCTATGAACTTTTATAATTACATCCTCTTCATTGTATTCCAAGTTTCCACCTCGTGCCTCATTTGATCTGTAAAATATATTTATGTATTATGTATTAAGGCTTACTAAGTGTTAGGAGAGCCTTAAGATGTGGGACACGAAAAAACATCGTATGTCGGATCTATTTTGTCCGTAATCAATGCTATTAACAACTTAAACTGGATGGTAAATGCAGTAAATGACTAGAGAAAATCTACAATGTGTCGATCTGTTACGGAAAATAAATGGACACGAAGATGAAATTTCAGAAATCATTGCCACCGTTAGTTGAAGGCAAAATTCATGGTTATTTGAAGTTTGTTGTAGACGAAGTTATCTGGTCAAAGAAGAATTTCGATGAAATTGAAGTACTTGTATCTTGGTGGGGAGAAACTAATAGAACTGAATTTAGGTGAAGTTTCAATAATAATTTTACTACTTTGTTTCGTGTGAATTCTTTTTCTTTTGTATATTGTTCATTAAAAAATGCTTCATTTTTCATTACTTTCACGTCTTATTACGTGTATTTTGAACTTTTTTCAGACTAACAGACATTACAAAAGATCTTGCAAGATCAGAGCAGAAAACAACTGAAATTTATGCCATTCGTACAAATATAAATCTTTTTGAGGAATATATTAAGAATTGTCAATATATCGAATTATTGGTTGTTAGTAAAGAGACCAATACAATTATAGGAACATCGTGCATCACAGATTTATTAGAGATCTTTAAATGTAACTCGTATTTTAGATATGTACCAATAGTAACTAATTTTGGAACTAAAATTGGAGAGATTCGTGTTTCTATGAAGTTAGAGTATATGACAAAATACTTTAGTATGCAATTAAAGCCACACAAATCTGAAAGAGAACAGGCTGCTGATAATATAGTACGTTCAACCAGCAAGAATTTCAAGAATCAAGATTATTTGTTAACTGATAAATGTAGCATTGATGAACAAGTAAAGTCTAAAGAAAATGATACTTACAAATCTATTTTAAAATTGAAAAGGACAGAATTTCATGAACCTCTAAATAAACTTGGTAATGAAATAACAGAGAGACTTGTTGCTCAGATTGTTACAAGAGCTCAAAGACTCAGAGGAAATTTATTTAAAGAAATATATGATGAAGATGAGTCGAATTTTAGTGACAATTCCATAAATGATAGATTACAAACTGACATGTCTGCTAAAAATAAAGAAAAATTTCATACATGTGTTTCGTGCGAAGATATGTCATCTAGTGGAAGTAAAATATGTACGTTAAAATCAACAACTTTGCATCCAAGTTTGACAAATCTTGCATCTAATAGTTTAAAAAACTATAGATATGATACTAAGAATACAACAAATATGTCTTCTTCAAGAATGAATTCTTTAACAGAAGATACACTTTCAGAAAAAAGATTGTGTATTGATACGAAAGGTTTATTAACTCTGAAAAAAATACCAGTGTGTTTTGAAACTTATTATACTAATCAAAATTATGTTCTGTTGTAGATACATTTGATCTTGTTACTTATATTCGAATTAATGTGGAATCATTTACTTTAAGTCCTGCTGGTTATAGACGTGTAAAATCATCTTCATTATCACGTATGTACATTTATATACATATTTAAAAATATTTAATATCTTTCTATAAATTAAATACATTCTTTTTTGTAGATAACGATAATATCTTTTTATCTGCAACGTATTTTGCACAATACGATATAGCATTTGATCACATTAAGGAAACTGAAAAAAAAGAAAGTAAATCTGTAAGAATATGTTCCAAAAAACAAATAAATCAAGGTATATTTATGATATTAATATATGCAAAATTTTCAATGTATTTTGTTATATGTATATGTTTATTCATTATATGTATTATTACATATCTAATATATTTTTACAGTAATTTATTTTAATCATAGCAATATATACAGAATACCAAAACATTATACAGCATTGCAAATAAAATTTAAGTTATTTATTCGTCATGTTAATAAAAAATCATTAATTGAATTAGGCAATGCTATCATTCAAATTAATGATATAAAAACTAAAACGTGGAAATTTGCACAACATTTAATTATACTCAATAAAGAAATAAAAACAGGTGAATTAAACGTAACTATCGAATTAGATTCAGATTTTAATCATTGTGAAAGACAGTGTATTGGTAAGTGTGTGAAATAGGAAATGAACATTTATATTGAGAATTTAACCATATTGTATTTTTTTAGATAATATGTCTGTAAAGGAAAACATTCTCATTTTGGATACACCACAGTTACTTAATGAAACTAGAAATAAAAGGAGCAAGAATATTATGGAAAATCAGTCTAAAACAAGTAATGAAATACCATTAATTTCAGACAGAGTAGTAAACTGTTCAACTATTGATAATAATTTAGTTACTATGAAGAGTACTTCACAATTAGCGAAAAGTATAGATAATAAAGAAATGGATACAAAAAGTGATAAAAATAAAGTACAAGCTAAGGTATCAAAATATGCATACTATAAATAATATATATTGATTATTTTTAATGACGAAATAATTATAGATTTTACTACATGGTTTAATATACATAATTGAAGGAAGGGAACTATCAGAATTAAATACATATTTAGTATGTAGAGCATTTTGGAAAGAAGATAAGACTAAAAGTCAAGTCTGTAATGATACAAGAAATCCATTTTACCAGTTTTGTCAAGTAAATATTTCTGTTATATATATATTTTTTTTAAATTTAATAATATATAATTCTTGGGTATATGTACATACGTATGTATATATACATACAAACTTTATATTTCAGTTAGTACCTCTTACTTATGACAGTGATTTATTGGAACGTATTAAAGACAATTACTTAATTATTGAAGTTTATTCTAAAAATAATAATACAGACAACTTACTGGGATTAACAAAATTATCTGTACATCAGTTGTATATTGCATATAGAGATCCACGAGTATTGCCTTGTTTATCATTGTCAAAGGTATATCATTTTAAATTAATATAACTTAGTTGCTTAATTCTTACAACTGTGTAATTTATTATTCTAGTATCCTGTGGTGAGTATAGATGGATGGGCACCAATTGTAGATCCTGTAAATGGTCAATCTTGTGGTCAGTTGCTTGCATTAGTAGCTCTTGGAACTGCTGAACAAATTATGTCATTAAGGATGTCAAGATATCTAGAAACTAGAAGTACTGCATCACAGTTTTCTGACCTCACAAATCATTCGCAAAATAGTTCTCAAATGCATACTGCCAATAAAATTCAAGGAGAATCATATTTTTCAAATTCGAAAACTCAAGAATCTCAGACAGATATCTCAACTGTTAAAGAATTCAAGTTCAATGAAAAATCACAGGAAGAAAAAGTTTCAAATTCAGAATGTTCTATTTTACAAAATACAGCTGACTTGACGCAACTTTTAAATATTAACAAGATTAATATAGATGAAGCAACACAAACTGAGATAAATTTGGAAAAAAAGCAACAATCGGATACAGAACAGATATGCTCAAATGAATTGAATTGTAACAACAGTTCTGATTACAGCGATAACAATAGCGTTAAACATAATCTTTATTTACCGATAGAAATGTATAGAAGCGTTGGAGTTGGTGCTGAGTATAATGAAGGAAATGACCAACAACTGACCAGCAATCACAGTAATACAACATTTGAATCATCAATTATAAATCATGTAGAAAACGAATCAACGAATTCAACATGTAGTCAAACAATGTTTAGAGCTATTGTGGAGATTGAGTGTGCATTGCATTTGCCAAAAATAGAGAAAATTAATGAAACCATTGATCCAAGTACATATGTATCATTTCAGGCTAGTAAATCTGATCATACAAAACATTTAAATTCGTACATGATTACTAATGTATTCCCACATAGTTGCAACCCTAAATGGAACTGGAAATGTGATACTAAATTACCGACAGAACTACTTTTACATGTAATTCTTTTGGTTTATCTATAAAATTTCCTTTTTTCTTTAAATAATTTTAAATATTTATTTGCTTGTAGGATAAGAAGAGATTGATTTTAAAAATTTGGCGTATATTAGATACAAATATCAGCATGGAAATAAACTTAGAGAAAGATATTGTTATTGGATTTTCTGCTATTGATCTTTCTGTTTTAATTAGTGGCTTTCCAACGGTATCTGGTTGGTTTCATGTAATGGACTTCACTGGAAAATGCAATGGACAAATTAAAGTATTATTTATTCTATTATTCTTAATCTTATTATTACTTCATTTATGTTATATATTTATCTTATTATTTATTTTAGTATTTATTGTCAAATATCAATAATTTTAGGTATGCATAACACCATTAGATAATTTATCGTTATTTAGTAAATTAATGACATCATTAAATACAACCCGACCAGCATATTCTATGTCACAATTAAATTGGGTTCCATTGCATGTTTACGAAGCACATTCTTATGATATAGAAAAAGATAAAACGAATAATTCATCAATAGTTATACAGGAAGAAGAGAAACCAGTACATAATGAAAATCAATCAAATGATTCTGTTACTCATACTGATTTTGAAGATGTATCTATGTCATTTTTATCTTTATCTTTAAAGTAAGTAAATTTTATCATATTTTAATAATTTACAATGAAATTTACATATTATATTTGTATTTTTTATAGACAAAAATTGACTGAATTAGATGAAATTACAAAACGTCTAGAATCACGATTACGTGATGTTACAAATACGGCTTTTGAAGATGATTTGGAGAATGAATTTGAACTAAACGAATCAAACAGTGATAATGAAAATAACGATTGTAAAATTATCACACCAATATTATCTATTGCCACAAAAGATCACAATAGCAAAATGTATCATAATACAAATACTAGAGAAAATGAAGACCATAACGTATCAAATGAAACTAGCAATCAAAATATTTTGCCTGAAATGTATATTAGTTACAACAATGCAATTAGTTCTTCTAAAATATTGAATTCTTATAGTAAGCAAAATTTATCAAATGACAATTCTGAAATGGAACAAAGTGAATATTTAGTGCAAAATAGTAGAACATTGGACAATACTTTCTCTGACTATCCAGAACGAGGAACAAAAGCGCATATAAATTATTTACTTGATAAGCTATCTCTACAAATTCCTGCAGAATCATGTTTGACCAAGACTATACCAATGGGAAAAAATATTATTAATTTATTAACACATTTACCAGATAATAATAATTTACAAAACAGTAATAAATGTAATCAAGAACATAAAACATCTACATTACATACTCAAATGGATGAACAAACTAAAAAAAATTTGGAAAATCCAGTAACAAGTTGTGCGACCAATATAGAAATTGATACATATGATAAAAGTTCATCTCGGACATCCATGCATTCACAAATTTCTAATAAAATGTCAAAAGTGATTCGTGAAGAATTAATTGCTGAAGAAAATAGCAATACATCTAAATGCGATGAATTAACAACATATCTTGTAACTTCAAATGTTCGCCATATGGATTTAAATAATATTTGTAATCCATTTTTATATCAACATTTAGTGCCTGACTTACATTATTCACATACACCGTTTGAAGAAGAAAATATTAAACAATTGGATAATCGATATAGTAAAGTTTTTACTAAATCAATAAGTAACAGATTAAATAGAATACATAGTTTAATAGAAACTAATTTGTCTTTAGAAAATGCTGAACATTTTAAAACACCATCTGGAGTGTCGGAAAATATATTATCTGTGCTCCATAATACTAATTACAATGATCTGTTAGCAAGTAATAGTACAGAATCTACTACAACTATATCACTTAATAATTCAATGATAAAATCGATTGATTCAGAAGTAGTTGAAAATAGTGATTCTATATCCTCTAAAACATCTGTTCTTGTGTTTTCAAGACAAGCTCCTGATGGTGGTAATCCTATAGAAGATAATAAAAAACCATTAATTACACAACAGGATGAAGTTCTTCATTTATCATCGAATGATTATAATTAATATGTAAATCTATTACACTCATAATTACAATCATAAATTACATTTACAAGTATATATTTTTTTTAATTATATTAGAAATATTTTTTTATTGTACACAGTAAATAGATGTGAAAGTAAAATTCTATATACATTTTAATACATCTATTTAAACAAAAGTAGGTATTATATTTCATACATAGTTTATTATTTTACAATTTGTATATAATTTCTAATTATTAATTAATAACTTATATAATATTTAAATCTTGTTGATACATTAATATAGAGATAATATTGATTAATCTTTTTATTAAAAGTAATATTTGTATAAAATGATTATTATATTTTATAATATCAGTATAGGAGAATGTATTATATATTTATTACCAATTTAAGAAATATATTATTTAGAATATGTGCTTTATAGAAATATACATAATTTAACTAATTTTGTATATTTTTTCAAAATTATTAATTCTAAAATATATGAAGAATTATAAAATATATAAAAATTTTCTTTAATAAAAAAAAAATTCAAAATTTCATAGGTATCCATAATATATATATATATATTAAAATTAAATTTTACTTGCTTTGCCAGATTTTTAAAACAATAAATTTTATCTTAGTATAAAGTATGTAGCATAAGTTAATTTATTCATTGAAGTAAGTAGAAAGATAAGCTTCCTTTCGTATCCATTGTATAGCTCCTTTAGGATGCATCAACCATATTTTTGCAGTTGTAGTGTCATGTTGATGCATGATTGAACAGTCCCGTATTTTCTAAAATAAATATGAATAAACATAAAATGTATGCTCATTTGTGTATATATTTGAAATAAAATTTTACCTGGAATTTTTCTAATTTTCTTCGATTGAATCTTGTTTCCTTCTCATATTTTTTATTCATGCACGATCTACATAAAGATATTTCATTTTGTAATTGCCAATAATCGCCAATTGGTTTCTTCCCACATATCTTGCAAATATCTGTGTTTCGACTACAACATTTAAGATTCACTCCAAGTTTCATTTTCACTCTACCACCAAAACTATGTTCTAATATGGGTTCCTTTCTTTTAATACTAACATACATTCCTGGACTATATGCATTAAATATTATTCTATGCACACGCGATACATAATTCTTACAACTATTCCAATTATACTATTATCATACCCTGGAATTGTATTGCTAATAAACGTCTGTCTTTTACTGTTCGAATCAAATGGATACTTTGATTTGTGTGTTATCTTAGGAAACGTGAAAGTATTGTAATCTAACGGTGATGGGTAATGATCTCTGAGTTCCTTTTTTATAGCAAATCTAGCAACGCCACTGTAACCTTTTTTACTGATGCTATAGGAACAGGGCTAAAATAAAGAGCACAACAGATTTATATCACATTTACTTTGAAATATTTTGAGTCTGCAAATTATTAACCATCATTATGTATCCTAGACAATTGATTATACCTTAGTTATAATTGATTTAAATGATTTCAAAACATCGTACGAATTAGGTGCTACATTTGGATGATCTTCTAATGTATAATGTCTCATAAATGGGCTCATATTCTTTTTTGAAGTGTCACGAGCACATCCTGATCCAAAACATATTTTCTGCTGTTCTTGTTTTTGTATAACATATTTAAATTCTGTTTATGGACAAAATCTTTTTAATAGGAAATATTTTAAGATCACTTATCAACAGCTATGTTAATGTGTTTATGTAGGACATATTTTCAATTATGAGAAGAGTATAACATTAATAAGATATTTATACCTTCCTGAATAACTGTCATTATTGTAAAAAATATAGAATGTATTTAGTAGTAAATGTTGTAAATTCCAATTGTGTATATTTGTAAAATCAATGATTATGACAGTACACATATATATATACATACATATATATATGTGTGTGTGTATATATACGTTATATGTATTAATATATTAGGCAAAAATGCTTTGTCAAATATCCCTAATACTTTTTAATATTTACATACATGTTGATATGTTAGCATTCGATCGATATTTTACGCATTTACTAATTGATTAGTTTGTATTATAAAAATAATTATTGTGAATCATAAAATATACGATTGATATAAATTATAGCATCATTGAATAATGCATTTAATACATGTTTGTAACATTGTTTATTAAATCATATTTTTAATCTTTATTAGCACACATTGCGCATAAAAACAAAAATAAATGTATTTCAAAATGTATTTGAAATAAATATGAAATTACACTTTATCAATAAACTATAAATAATATTCCAAATTATACAGCGTATTAATTCGGATTCCATTCATATACGTACGTACAATTTTATATTTACAAGTCACGTGAATGAAAAGCAACCAATCACCACACTGTTATTTACATTTTATTCAATTGTACGAAATTAGAATAGAGGGCCTATCTTTCTTCTCTGTAATTTTACTATACACGCGAAACGTTCTCGCGTAAAATTCGAACAAAAAAATAGTTCATATAAACTTCATCTATTTTAATCGATTCATACTTCTGATTCGTATATTACGTGTATTTACAAACATATTATCGGGCCTGTTTTACAATTATTAAAATCTGGTATTTTCAGCGCCCTCACGTAAGTACGCATGCTTACGTTATACCCTGCAGATATAACTCACGCTATTCGAGTCAAATTCACAACTCTCGTAAAAGAAAATATCATTGCTCGCCGTTTGGGCTCGCGTTAATTATTTCGAATTCAAATGAATGAATATATCATATTGTTAGGGATGAAAAATTTTTACCTAAATAAAAGGGAAACAGGTGAGAAATGTTTTAAGAACAGGAAGCGTTACAGATGTTTAGTCGAACAACAGAGTGCGGTAGTCTTAGCAGGTCGATGGTGCTGTTCGTACCGACGGTTCGTTTGCAGCCGTCTTTGCTTCGCGATGCGTCCACTGATGTGTGTTTCTGCACATGGCCGTGCCGCCCAACGGGCTTCTGCATTGTTCCACGGTTTTTCGCACTTTAACACCGGTAAATGGACTTATTATAGTTAGATTTCCTATGCCAACGGTTAAAAAACACGCGTTTTGTGCCTTGAATTATACAAAAATACATTTTCGTGTCGATAACCATAATTAATGAACCAAAAAGTGAGTCTTGGGTAATATCGCATTAGTGTTTAGTTCACGTTTTAGAATTAGCATTGTTCCTCCGATTTTCAAGGTGCTCGTTGTTTGTAAAAGCATAATCGATCTCGCACGATTTTATATCGTTAAAGAGGACACTATCAGCGAAGATTTTTTTTCACTTAAGTCAACATGTTATAATGTGGTATTCAAGGACGTGCAGCGACAATTAAATCGTAATTCTTATATATCAATACGTTTTATTAAAAATTTCACGTTTCGTATTTCAGATACGTTGTTTTGCACGGAATTACAAAGACAGATGAAATTGTAGTTGAAAATTCAACGCTTCTAATTGTTTACCAATGCGAGGTTCTACTGTAACCATTGATAAATCTCGGTTCTTAAAAAAAAAAATAATTCTTTCATAAATACTTGTTTTCATTAGTCGCGACAACATTTAGATTAAATTTTTTTTTCGAATAATTATACGTCATATACGGTTATTTCTTTCTGTATTTCATGCAATTATGTATTATGATTTCTTACATTGAATGTGTCATTATTAATTGCTTGTGGCAACAGCGGTCCTTTAAACATTTGTCAAAAATTGAGTATTTTGTAAAAGAAAGTCTCTTATGTTTTATGACACTGTTAGTCAAAGGTTCGATCGATATGAAAACCTATAGAAATAAAATTATTTTAAATATAGAACAAGATTTTCAAGTGTTCATTTATACAGAATATTTAAGAGTATCAAAATATATTTATTCTGACAGTCTTACATACAAAACATACTTATTTTTAAATATACTTTCTAGGATTATATTTATCACTTTTAGAAGAATTATATTATATATTACATCCACCATGACTACATCATCGGAAGATGTTCTAATGCAAGTAGGACAAGTTCGTTATAAAAAAGGAGATGGTACTTTATATGTCATGAATGAAAGAATAGCCTGGATGCTTGATAACAGAGACACTGTATCAGTCAGTCATAAATATGCTGACATTAAGTGTAAGAACATTCGTGTAATGATCAAAATATTCAATAAAAAGATTATTAAAGAAAACTCACTTTGCTATAAATTTATTGCATTTTTTATACTTTTAATATATTAGTAATTTAATTGCTTATTTCTATTTTTTTATGTTAAATTGTATTAAATACATATTTGCATTATCATTTTCATTTAAAAGAACTACAAAGTTGAAAAATTATTAAAACAAAACATTATTAATATTAGGTATTCTTCTGAAAATTAATATATTACATTATATTATACTTTTCTTTGTAGTACAAAAGATATCACCAGAAGGAAAATCAAAAATACAGTTGCAAGTTGTATTACACGATGGTTCATCATCTATATTTCATTTTGTAAACAGAAATGGACAAGAGGCACAAATTAAAGATCGTGATGATGTAAAAGAATTACTTCAACAATTATTACCAAAATTTAAAAGAAAAGTAAACAAAGAATTGGAAGAAAAAAATAGGTAAGATATTTTATATTACAATGATTTTTTTATATCAATCATACATTAAAATGTAGTATTATTTAACAGAATGCTTCAAGAAAATCCTGTGCTGCTTCAGTTATACAGAGATTTGGTCATTACCCAAGTTATTTCATCTGAAGAATTTTGGTCACAGCACGCTGCAGAATATACTCAAGCTAAGAAAAGTCAAAGACAAGAAATAGGAGTAAATAGTGCTTTTTTGGTAAGAATTTTTTTATCGTTAAAATGTAAATTAAATGACCAGAAAAATTAATTAATAATGCAATATATTATTTGTAGGCTGATATAAAACCACAAACTGATGGTTGTAATGGTTTGAAGTATAATTTAACTGTTGATATTATAGAATGTATATTTAAAACTTATCCAGCAGTAAAAAGAAAACATCAAGAAAATGTGCCTCACAAAATGTCAGAGTCAGATTTTTGGACAAAGTTCTTTCAGTCACATTATTTTCATCGAGATCGCATCAATGCAGGGACCAAGGATCTTTTTACCGAATGTGCCAAAATAGATGATCAAGAACTTAAGAAAGATATTCAGTCGGGTATTGATGATCCATTGGTGGATATAACTTCTTTCGAGGATCAAACCCTAGATGAAAATTATGGGAATGGACCCACTAAATCTGATAAAGTTTCGGGAAATATTGTACATCAAAGTATGATTAAGAGATTTAATCAGCACAGTATCATGGTTTTAAAAGCTAGCACTGTCAAGCAATCTACGCAGTCCATTCAACCACAATTAAATGGATCAACGCCATCGGCGAGTAAAACTACAACATTGTCTAATCAATTAGACGAACGACCAAAGATTAAAAAGGTAAATTTACAATATATAAGGTAGATTGCGTTTATATATAAAACAGTGCATCCAATAACAATATGCGTGTCCTTTATTTTCAGCTTAGAATACAAGAAAAATTAATTTATGATGATCTAGATGCCACTCATGATACAAATTCAAACAGTAGTGCGCCATTAAATTTGAATCATGTAGACAGGTATTTACATGGTCCAGTGCCAGGATACAGTAATACGGAACCAACATCTGAAGAACTTCTTATAACATTAAATCAATTAAAAAAAGAAGCAAGTGGTTGGCTAACAGGAAATAGTATACCAAGGCAATTAGCAACATCATTAGTTAGTCCAGCTGCAGCAGTTTCAGCTCTAGGAGAATTAACTCCAGGTGGCTCTTTAATGAAGGGTTTCAGAGAAGAAAGTCTTGGACGTAAGTGTATGCCATTAGCTGTAAATTAATTTAATTAAAATATATAATACGTTCACGTCAATTACAGAATTAATACCAAAGGATTTAGAAAAAGAACTACGTAATGTATATGTGTGTACATGTGAACTTTTAAGGCATTTTTGGAAAAGTTTCCCACCTACAACTCCACAGCTTGAAGAAAAAGCTATTAGAATGCATGAAGCGTTACATAGATTTCATTCTGCCAAACTTAAACCTTTTGAAGTAAGTCTTACAAGATTCTACAAATTTTGTACAGTTATTGATTTATATTGTTTTTTTACTCTTCGAATATTTACTTTTATAGGATCGTGTTCAACGAGATTTTTCTGCTGTTAGTCAACACTTGACAAGTCATTTAAATCAATTATTAAATACAGCATATAGAAAATTCGCAGTTTGGCAACAACGTAAAATGCAAATGAGGTAGCCATTGAATAATTTGTCGTACAATTAAAAATAATAAAACAGAGCAATATCGATCATCCTATATTGCATTTTATAATGTTACCGTAATTAGGAATTAATATGGGTGTATTTCACAAAAAACCAAAGCTGAATCGTGTCATGCATCCTGTGCTGCCACATATTGTTTATTTATTCTCACGTAATCGTGTTTATTGTTCTAGAATTTTCATAAATATGTTACTTTAAATTCATTTGTAAAAGATATTTCACTTCATTATTTTCATATTGTAGTATACAGTTTATTTATTTTCTTTTTTTCTTTCATAGATTATTGTACATCATGTTGCACGTATCATATTAATCAATCGTTGATATCACGATGAAGCTAAGAAAAAAATTTCAAGAATTTATTAAATTCATTAAAAAAAATATTACATGTAGAGTAAAGTTAATATTTATAAATTTTCGAAAAAAAAACTATGATCGCGTATGGAACGTCTAAAATTTATAAATTATAACTACATAGGTGAATGTTAAGAGAAACGTCTATTGTACGATATCAAAGTAGCTGTGATATCGCCACTGTATTATTAAGGTTTATTAAAAAGTCAGTTTCATCGTTTTGAATGTTCGTTTTCAAATTGCAAATATTTTCTATTCATGTTAAAAAAATTTGAAACATTGATTGTTTCCCTGATATGATATGTTATTCTAGAAAACAACAGGTTGGTTTATACAATGCCTGACAAAACAAATCATTTTTTTATCCAAAAACTAGAAAATTAATGCACACGGTGGCATCAGTATACTTTTTACGATATCTGCGATATACCCAACTAAGTGTCTTAATTGTTGAATCCTATTTTTTTTTCTTTTTTTTTTTTTACATTATCGAATAAAGCAATTCTCGCAACATGAGATTTCGTAAACTGCCTGCTCACTTTCTCAATAGTAGCAATAATTTGGCAGTTACTAATGCGAGTGATGAGATATCAGATTCAATCAGTAAAAAAGAGTTTTTGAGATCATACTCGAAAGTTATGCTACGAACACTATTATAATACCGATTGTAAATATATTCTTACATCATCATTACAATAAATGTTATTATTATGAATTAGCATTTAATCAATAACGTCACCTGTTAAGTCACAAATTGCTTTTGCCATTGAAATGTCAAGTCAAAATTATTTTGCAGATCAACAGAAGTGTGTTTTGCTTTCTTAAAATTTTTTTAAATTTTATTTAAACTTTTGAATTATGCTAAAGTTTTGTACATAACGGGGTATGAAAAATGTCAACAAGCCTTGTCGAAAACTTACCTCTCGTGAGAAATTAAATTGCTTACAAGCAGATTAACAAACGAAACTAGAATAGATCGATTGAAAATGTATTCGGTACTTTGGCTGTCTTGAAAAGTCCCGCCTGTTGATCTTTTTCTCTAATCCGTGGTCAATAGATGGCGCAGCTTATTGTTGATTCCGTTCAAAATGGCAGCCTGTAATGGGCACTGCGGGGTAATATTGTTCAATTCCCCGCGATAAATGAGCCCATGTAAAGTTAACTCGCCGCAGTGCATATGCGAAGTCTAGGGTGCATTCGGAATGTACACTTTTCCTCGAATGGTTGAATCATGTGAGCGCAATCACAGTGCCAGCCGATCGTGTGTCGTGCATTGGCCAAGTTTGTGTAGCCATATTTATTGTGTTATTCGGCAAGACGTTATATCTTGCACACCGGCAAATGTAATTGATAGCCAAGACATATGACTGTTTGTTATTGAAGGTAAAGCCGTTGTTTTCAGCATTTGCTTTCGGCAAAGAATGTGGCGATTTTGTTATCCCAAATGGAATGCGGCTGCATACGTATAAAACATTTAAGGACTTTAGTACAATAGGACATGAAAAGACGCTACATTGAGTTCTCTCTGGTTCTTCAAAAGCGGCGCACATTTTTCGTTAGTTTCTTTCTAAACCACTATTCCTATGATTTCCAAACGGTGAAGCTCGTGCAATATATTAAAGTTCATGTCTGATCCTCTTGTTATCCTTGGTAACATACATTGTGCCGTGCAATAAGGATTTTAAAAAGTGAGTATTTTTCTTTTTCTTTTTTTTTTTTTTTTTT